CTTTAGGGATTTTTCATAGCGGTCGTTTATTCAATTGTGAAAGTAAATAAATATTTTTATGTTATTATGTTATTATGTTTTAGTGTTTACTTTGTATACATATAAAAAATATAACTTTTTTTATTTATTTATGCATTTACTATAGCCGAGAGAATTTAAACGAACGATTATAGGATCACGGTAAGGTATATTTATCGACCGCAGATTTTGTTTATTTTTGTCGAGTGATGTGTACCCCGGGAGGTTATTACTGCAGCAGTGTGTATTCTACAAAAAACGCTGCGAACGACAATAATATCTGATTTATATTATGTCATCTATAGTTTATATGTTTTCCCCTGCACGCATTCAGCGTATACCCATACCTATACTTACGCGTACCTACGTATATGCTGGTAATACGACGTGTAAACAAGGTTGCTCCTCCAGGAAAAGAGTCACGGGCCATTTGTACGGGATTATTTGGCTATGACATTTTTACGTTTGCCAAAGGTCACGGGGGCCTTACGCTTTATGGTACCATTTGGAAAGGAACGGTTGCATCGTCATGTATTATAAAACGTTTTTCTTGGTCGGGCGAAGCGGGCGTGAGCGCAAGAGGGAGAAGAGGCTAAAATAAAAGTAAGAAATGGGAAAAATTGTTGTCTGCGTTTAGAGCAATTTAAAAACGAGACATGGACACGCGGAACACAAAAGGGGGTGGCTTTTCTCTCGGGCAATCTAGAAAAACAAGATTTGCTCCCGCCGCCGTCACTCTACTCTATCCTTCGGGAATTTATATATAAAGTTTTTTTTTTCACTCGTCCTATCCCATATTTTTTTTTTTTTTTGCTCCCCTCGCCTAACCCATTTTATACCTTAAATAGGTCCCGCGATTCTCCAAGCAAAAACAACGATTTTTCTTTTCCCATTCTCTATCTCTAAACTCCCTGAACGGCCATAATTGAAAGTCTTAGAGGTGATACTGTATATATTATATTGTGAAAGTTTTAAATTTCTTTTATCTCTACCTTTGCATGCCACCGCCTGCATATTACAGTCGTTCGGGCAACATTTGAAACCGATTTCAGTTCCCCTCTAGTCAAATATCAAACATAATATATTATGTATAATAATATTAATAATATTATATTATAGTCATGAAAAAAAATTCGCCACTATTTCCCGCTTACATGAATAATAATATTATAAAAAGCGTTTAACACACATACACACGCAATCGCTTGCCCTTATCAACAGCGTATTTAATTAAAATTAAATTTGTGGACATACTTGACATTTCGCGAGTCTGCAGGACCATCGGCGCAACGAGTAAATAGTTAGTGAGGGAGTAGGCGGGTGAGAGTAACTGGGTTCAAATTTTTTTTTTATGATGATGATATAAGAGTAACTGGTTATTGTAAAAAAATATATTTAATATATTTTAATCTGCTACTCACGTTCATGTCATTCTTATTATTGCGTTTCAAAACGACATTTCGTACCCGATAGATCAACACATCTTATAAGTTATAAGTATTGATATTAAATATTTCGGCATTCCTGTTTAATCATTGTATAAAAGAGAAAGAAAAAAATTCAGCAAATTTCAGAAACTTCTGGATAATAATGAAACTAATATTTAAACAGCATAGAAAATAGATGTAACAGATTGTTACAGATTTGTATACAATACCATCAATCATCATAAGCATCCAAAAGCCGAATATTATTATCTACAGCAGCTAGGTCTATAGTCTATGGTTTCTGTTACAATCTGACCGTTAGAAAAACGTCAACAACAACAAACAACAATATTATAACATTTATAACTATTTATTTTCGTGTGTATGCGCGTCGCGCGTGTACTATAATAATAATAATACTACTACTACTATTACTACTAATAATAATATAGTACAAGCAAAGTCRCGGAGGATTAAAAATAAATCGTACCGATAAGAGACACACTGGGCCGCGGTCGTCGTCTATCACGAATTCACGAGTCACGACCCTCGCCCATATTTTCGCGTGTGCGTACGTGCCAAGAGAGGGGACTGGAGAACGCCCGTGCGTGCAATCGAGCAGAAAGCCGACAGACCTATGTATAAAGCCGAAAACCACAGAAACGTAGTTTACAGGCAGACGGACTTGCGCATTAACAATATCCCGCAGACCATTACAGATGAGGACTTGTTACCCGTGGATTGACGTCTTGGTTTTTTTTTAAGGTTAAGAGGTAGGTTGGTGAGTGCTCAATATCATGGTGAAAAACAAATAATAATAACCAAAATATTATTACTTGTAAATTATTATTACTAAAAATTGTTTACCTGGGTCGATGGGTAGACTTTTGGTTACTTATATGCGAGTTAATTAAGATTCATTTCTTCATCGCTGTAGATAGGTGTCAAACAATATCTATTGTACCTACTAGGCGTACAGCTGGGTTGTTCGGCTCGTTTATGGGTTGGGCGAACATGTTGGACAACGTTTCGAATACGATCAATTATGCCGAGTACTTATGTGCAGTTTTTCACGCCGTCCACACGACCAGTACCACGTTACGTCTATCTCACAAGAAAATTGTTTTTCTGTTAGGTTTATTTTTGTTTCAAACGTTCTTAAATAATAGTTTTTAATGTCCGCGTGGATCTCAGTCCGCTCATCTACGGCGACGATAATATTATTATATTTTAACGATGTACGCACCACGCACACACACACAGGTAATATTCGCATGTACGCGTTAGAATTCAAATGAAACGACGTGACAGGTATCACACGTGTTGATCTTCCACCTGTTGGCCATATGTTTTTATCCTGTAGACATCGATCCCCGCACGCGCCACACCGGCAACCAGCAGTCGTCGTGGTGGCGGTGGCGGCGTCGGCGGCGGCGTCGGTATATCCATCGATGACTGCTGCCGCTGTTTTATATACAGAGTCCCCGAGATTTTTTTATTATAGATAACGAAACAATTATTATTCTCCGATCCCTTTTCATCGCGATCGAATTATCCTAAATTCGCAGACGTCATTTTTCTCGTCCGACCAGAGACCAGTGTAGAATCATTTTCGTCTGTACGAAGTCCAACTCAGTATTCGTCAAGTCTTAACACAACCACCAGTTCTGTCATATCATGTTTCTCGTCAAAATACTTGAAGAAGGTATCCGTATGAGACAATATCATTATTTATGTGTATTATTAGATTATTGTTATTTTGTTCAATATTCAATATTGCTTTCGCGTCGTCGCTCGTCAAAGATTTCGATACAGAAACGGTGTATGGCCGTCTTTATCGAAAAACAAATATTCTACATTTTATATCATCATATAATTTACATTAGTAATTATAATAAATCATTCGGCGAGCGTCTTCGTTTGAGCGAAATAATATATTATATAAATTGGAATGCTAAAAACGATTACAAACAATAATAATAATAATAATAATAATAATAGAAGTAACATTTAAATTATCTGTACACGAATAGTATTATAATTTATTTAATTACGAAACAATGATTATTACTTGTGAACGGTTTTGCGAATTAAAAAAAAAGAAATTATAGTGTGACCGGAGGGGTACTGGAAAAACATCCAAGTATGCAAACAATCAATTAAAATTAATCAAGTAGCACTTATTCATTTTCTCGTTTCGTTAACAGCCTCCGCGCGTAGAAAATGTATCGATCTCGCGAAACGTACAAAACGTATTATATCAGGAAAAAGTCCATTATTATAGGTAACACCCAAAAGTACTAAAATATAGTAACACACACACACACACACACCGACACCGATACGTACAATAATCGTGTCGGTTATTAATAAAAACCGACTGCATAAATAATTCATTAGATGTAAATTGCTTTTCCGACGGGGAATTTACACCACGTTTACCAATCGGATTAACGATACTGCGTGGCGCGGCACGGTTGATAATAATATAGCTCTCGTTTTCCAAAAGGGACAACTATGCAGTCGGAATATTGAGTTACCCGCACAGGTGAGTGGTATAATAATATGTATAGTGTATAAATGAAAGGATTTTCCGTGTAACTATATTATATGTATTATTTACATTTTGTATAAGGTACGAAAATTAACATTGGCCGACCGACTGTAGATAATAGATATCCACGCAACAGAATATCCGCCATAAAATGTACACTAAAAATATGTGGTTTTCAATCCAGGTCCTTCCGAACCAAATAAACGTTTACATATATCAACGACATATCAATATTATGTCTTTTTTAAGCTCTGCATGATAAATAATAATATCTCTCATGGCTTATATATACACGTGACTCGAAATATGTATGTATATTTTGATCGAGATTTTATGATCATTCTTACAATAATAATAATAATTCATTGTATAATTTATACCGAACAAATTGTCGTTCGTTTTATTGTTTTTCGCTTAATTATTATAGCAAACAAAGTTATTGCAATATTTTTGACAAGTAGAAATCATTAATAAACGCGTTTATTTAAAAATTAAATTAAAAACTGTTTTAAATTAAATTTGAAAAAAAAGGGAATGCGACAAAGTATTCGATTTAATTTGAATTTTTCTGAATTAACAAAACACAATGAATTATAAAAATTTAAGAAAAACAGTGTAAAAGAATAATAAAAGGAAACAACCGTTTCTCTTTCGAACTAAATAATATTTTGTATTTTTTTTTATCCAATATCATAAAATATTCGGTAGAAGACATAAGCGCCAAAACGAGATGTGAAAAAATAAATAAATTCTGTCGTACGAAAGTACCGAAATCCCTGATACCTCGGTGGCTCAGTGATTCATTCCAGAACATATATTTTTATGATTAAATATTTTTAAAATTATTGTCGATTAAAAATATTTCCGAATACCTAAAATATTAATTAAGAAGCAAATAATATATATTAATAAAAACCCATTAAAAACATTATATAGTGTACATGTTTATCTTGATGGGTGCATTCATTGTTAGTTTGAATCTGTTCGATTAAATTATACAAATGCCTACTGAAATACGCACGTTGCACGTATTACATCTAGTATATAATTATTGTTGTAAGTGCTTGCAAGCTGTAGGAAGTGGGTACCGTAATAATACTGTATTTATAACAAACGCATTATAATAATGTTTAGTTCAAACAAATAATTGTAGGTACGTTTATACACAATACAAACCGAAATCATTAACGAAACGATTTTGTTTGTCGTCCTCTATTGCACTCAGTTTTATTATTATTCATATTATCTACTTGAGACTATACACTCAGCCAACGCGGCAGCGCCACAAGTAACGCGAAATACGACATTAATAACCAATATGTACCTCGGTAAAGAAATTGCGAACGACTTATTGCGACGGGTTAGGGTAAACGCGTGCATGTGCGTACCTGTACTCGTATATATACAGGGTGTCCCGCGAGGATTTACCCATTGCGATATCTTACGAAATAATGGAGATATCAAAATTCTGGTTTTATAATAAGATTCATAGGGATATTAACTACAGCAATTACTTCATTTTTAAATTTATTTTAATGTTTTTGTAAAAAATTTAAGAAATATATTTTTTTATTTAATTATTTCCAAAAAAATTAAAGATGGCCTTTTGTAGAGCTTAATTTTCTGAAAATATTGACGTTTCAAAATTTTATTTAAATTTTATTTATTTAAACATTAATTTCCTGATTTTTAATATTTTTTCTAGTTTTGAAGAAATAAAATATGATTATAAATTTATAACCATTAGGAACACGGAAGATAATATTCGGCCGGCCGTATGGGAATGCGCGCGGCGCGGCGGATCACATGTTTGATAACATTACGGTGTTAAATAATACGCAATTTTTCGCGAAACTAAAAAAAATATTCAAAATCAGGAAATAAATGAAATTAAAATTTTGTAACGTCAATATTATCAAAAAAATAAAATCAACAAAATGGCTATCTTTATTTTTTTTTTAAATAATTAAATAAAAAAATATATTTTTTAACTTTTTTACCAAAACTATAAAATAAATTAAAATATGAAATAATTGTAGTTCTTATCCCTGTGAGTCTTATCACAAACCAGAATTTCGATATCACCATTATTTCGGGAGATATGCAATGGGTAAATCCTCACGGGACACCCTGTATATATAGGGATTCGTGGAAAGTTTTTATTGTTTGCCGAACAATCGATATGACTTGTGTATTGGTCTTCTTTTTCTTTTTCTTTCTCCCACCCACGCCTCCACCACAATCCCAAACTGACTATTTTGCTATACGTGTGGGTACATTTTTTTCAACAGAATTTCAAAAGCGTGCGCTGTATAATACACGTCAATTCGAAATACTCTAGTAAAAAAAAAACTCAAGACGACATCCATTAAGCTAATCTGTTGTGACCGCGGCCCCTCCGACATCTATATATTATATAATATGTAATATTATTATATACTGATACCTAAATACAGTGTATAACAGTAAGATATGACGGAATATCATAATATATATTTTATATGCTTTTACATGTTTCATTTATCATATATTTCTGTTACACCTTGTGAATATTATATTATATTTTTAAATATGGTCTACCCGTCTCCCCTCTAGGAAAACTATCACGCCATGTAGGAACATATTATACTCGCTGAACCCACGGCGATACCATATATTTATATCAACTGCAGCATCCATATCATAATATTAATATGTAGCGCTCGAATGACCACAATCGAACCTACACGTGTGATAAGCGGGAAACCGCGCTAATAATTGCACGTGAGACGCGTAGGCGGAAAAGTCGTTACCTATTATTATATGAGAGTTATATTTTAATAAGTATGATTAATAACTATGTTCACTTACCATTGGTAGTTGACCTAAATATAATCGGATCAGTGTTGACACCAACTTTAAAGCTGTGATAGTTGTGATATATAACTGAAACAAGAAAAATAATATTTATAAATATAGTTAAAAATGCTTATTGTTAAGTATACATTTATTTTGAAAAATTATGCGTTCCTAATGTATTTTTAGCTTTTTTTTTAAATAATTATTGTATACAGAGTGTCCCGTGAGGATTTACCCATTGCAATATCTCCCGAAATAATGGTGATATCGAAATTCTGGTTTTGTAATAAGACTCACAGGGATAAGAACTACAATTATTTCATATTTTAATTTATATTAATGTTTTGGTAAAAAAGTTAAAAAATAAATTTTTTTATATAATTATTTCAAAAAAAAATTAAAGATAGCCATTTTGTTGAGTTTATTTTTCTGAAAATATTGACGTTTCAAAATTTTAATTTCATTTATTTCCTGATTTTGAATATTTTTTTTAGTTTCGCGAAAAATTTCGTATTATTTAACACCGTAATGTTATCAAACATGTGACCCGCCGCGGCGCGCGCTTTCCCAAACGGCCGGCCGAATATTATCTTCCGTGTTCCTCTTTATTACTTCAAAACTAGATATCGCAATGGGTAAATCCTCGCGGGACACCCTGTATTTATAAATTTATATATTTATTATTTACTTTATAAATTGTATATGTCTTAAATTAAATACAATATTTATACGGTATTTAATGTTGATATAAAATCCACTTTGTACGACAAAACGGATTAAAATATATTGTACAACGAAATGTTTAAAGTGGGTTATTTTTTTTCAAACTATATTTAGTCGTTACGCGTTTAAAAACTATTTCTGAAGGGGTTGTTTAATATTCAGCGCTCGATACACAAATGACAAATATTTCAGCACGAAAGTAATTAATCAGACATCAATTAATAAATAAAAATAATTTTTAACATTTTAAAGATGCAACATTTTATTATAATAATAATATATTATAACATAGCTGGTACACGTAATTGTCGTGAACAAAAACGTGTTTTTTAATCCCGAGACTATTTCACCAAAAGAAAATATCTCTCGAAGACGTTCATTATTCACGACTTAAAACAACTATTATACTAAACATTTTTATGCTCCGCTCTTTTGTCTCCCCGTTTTTTTAGCGCACGCTTATTATTATTTGTTCCGCGTCGCGTTCTTTATTATTCGTTTGTATATTCTCGCGATGGAGTTCACAATGAGTTTACTCTCAGCGTAATGAACACGGATGGTGGAAAATTCCTTTTAAGTCTAATTATACGAATTTACGTCGAACGTTTATATAGATTTGTTCGCATATCTGATATAGTTTTATTTTCGAACGTCTGTATAAAATTTGTTTTTTATTTCTATACGTAGACCGGACGATAAAACACGGTGCGGTTGGCGTGCTCAAGTTTTTCGAGCCCCTTTGGAATTCTATTTTAGCGGCTCCCTTTCGCTTGACACCCCCAATTACGACAAATACAAAAACTATAATATAATACCATTTGGCACGTATATTATAGTTATCGTGATACTATAAACCATGAAATCTTATTATATATATAATAGGTACCTTGCAATGTTGCAAGACAATTTGTTAGCCTTCGGTAGAGGTTTCAAACTCTCCTAAATAATCGAGTAAAAATACATGAGAAAATAAATCATCGATAATTACGCACCGTCATCGTATATTTTGCGGTGTAATCCGGCTGGTAAACCTGTTACCACGCGTGGTTAGGTTAGGTATATATTTTAAAATATTTAACTACTCCACCGCGTATGGCTAGAGGTGGTTAATATAATGATGTGATAGCGAATTGACTACTATAAATTATACCTAGTGAAATCGTCTTCACCTAAATAATATTATTTAATTTATTGTGAATAACAAAAAAGTTCTGAGCAATCATGATCCACAGTGATGACAAAAACCTAGTAGACTCTAATCTTCTTCTGTAATATACCACTTATTTCCATCACTATTAACAATTAAATACCTACCAATACCTACCCGCGATTATGAAGGTTAATACCTACAACAAATTTAGTCACTCTCCTTCGACCGAATAGTAATAATAATAATAATATTATGAAACGTTTGTCTCTTTCTGCTTACAGAGTATGCGGGAACCGTTAAAAGCGAGTACCCGACGGCTACCGACGCGCAGGCACCGCAGTCGGTGGTCGCCGCCATGCCGTCCGCGCGCGAACACCATCATCAGCAACAACCACCGCCGCCACCGACGCCGGCCACTGCCACGCCGGTGCTCACAGTACTTCAGTACCAGCGGCCGCGTACGTACACTAGTACCGGAGTGGCCCTGTCGTTGCCGCCAAAGAAGAAGGACATATACCGGCCCTATTCGCTGGACGACCACAAGCCGATCAAATGGCCGCGACCCGAGGAGGATATTAATGCCGCGCAGGCCATACTCGACCTCAGCGCATCGACACCAGTGGTCGTTTGCCGGCCGCCGCCTCAACAACTGCAACCACCACCGCCGCCGCCACCACCACCGCCGGCCACTCAACAACATCTACAACCACCGCCACCACCAACTGCACCTCTTCAACAACTGACACCGCCACAACAAGAACAACAACAACAGCAAATAGTGCACGTCATACCGGTGGCCGCCAAACAGCAACCGGCCGAACAACTACAGCAACTGCGCCCGCCCCCGCCCGCCATTCCGTTGCCGGTGACCACCACCGCGGCCACCAGCAAAACGGTTGCGTACACGTACGAGGCGTTTTTCGTCAGCGACGGCCGGTCGAAACGCAAATCATCGGCGGCCGCCGCAGCCGCCGCGTCATCTTCGTCGGCCTCATCCGCGTCAGGCGACGAGTGCGTCGTCGGCGACAAGTCGTCCGGCGGCGCGGCAACCGCCATCGGCGCCGACATTAGCGCCGCGTCGCCCGGCCGACCGTCCAAGTACACGTGCTCCGAGTGCGGAAAACGGTATGCCACGTCGTCGAACCTGTCCCGGCACAAGCAGACGCACCGGAGCCTGGACTCGCAGTCGGCCAAGCGGTGCAACGTGTGCGGAAAGCCGTACGTCAGCATGCCCGCGCTCGCCATGCACCAGCTAACGCACAAGCTGACGCACGCGTGCGATGTGTGCGGAAAGATGTTCAGCCGGCCGTGGTTGCTGCAGGGCCACCTCCGGTCGCACACGGGCGAGAAGCCGTACGGATGCGCGCATTGCGGCAAAGCTTTTGCCGACCGCTCGAACCTGCGCGCGCACATGCAGACCCACTCCGGCGACAAAAACTTTGCTTGCCCGCGATGTTTCAAGTCGTTTGCTCTGAAGTCATACCTGAACAAGCATCTGGAGTCGGCCTGCTTGCCCGTCGCCACCGCCGCGGCCGCGCCTTCGTCTCCCTCATCACTTACGTCGTCGTCTTCGTCATCGTCTTCGTCTTCGTCATCTTCGTCGTCGTCGTCGTCGTCGTCGTCGTCGTCGTCGGCCGCCGCCGCCGCCGCAGTCACCGCCGCTGCACAGTCACCATCGCACCAACAACAACATCACCCGCCCGCACATTTGCATCATCTTCAACAGCAGCATCACCATCATACGACTGCCGCCGAAATCACCAATCTCAACTTGTTGCGTCCAACGGTACTGCACACTGCCTGAACCGACGCGCACGATGCGTGTCGAAAATCCTGGTCATTATTGTAAATTTTTTTTACTATATAATAATTATTATTTTCATAACATTATAATATTATCATATTCTGGTCGTACGTTATAGTCAATTTTTTCGGAAATCTTTAAAATCTAGTTCATTTTTTTATTATTATTAAACGGTTAGGGGTGGGGTTTATATATTATAATTATTATAGTATTATATTATTTTCACATACAGACACTAGTCACGAGTTTCTAGTCAATTTCTAATCCGTGGATAATATTTATATGCTTATATACAAAATATTATATTATTTACATTTATATATTTTTTTTATTATTATTATTTATCGTGACAAAATTTCAGAACATATATTATATTATTTTATAAATTTAAGTTTTTCTTTTCTTTTCTTTTTTCATTCGCTAAAGGGGCGTGCAATAGCGTGATTTGTTTTGTTTCGGTGTTAAAAAGTCAATTTTTATTTGAATATATTATTACTATTATTATTATATTACTATTTTATTTTTAATCATATCATGTTTTTTTTTTTTTTATCAAGCGGACATTGCATGAAATCTCACATTATTATTATAGCCTCTAAATAGTCTTGAAGTTTAATACAAATGTGCGGTTGGTTCCTACCTTGCCCAACCCTGTGTATAGATATAGTAAAATATTTGCCAGTGGTTGATTATTACGTATATACATATTATTATTTGTAAGCATTGTGTATTATTTAAACACGTTGAAGCGTGCGGTTTCATTCTTTTTATACATTTATGTCATATTGTACTATAATTTTAATTCTTTTTAATTTTAATTGGATGTATACACGCGTATATGTTAGAGTGTGTGGTCTAGTCATTTAGATTAAGTTAGAGCTACCACGGGAGTGGTTGAACTATAGTAAAATATATAGAGAATGCGATCTCAAAAAAAAAAATAAAATAAAATAAAAAGATTGAATATTAAAAAAAAATTGACATAATTAATTATGTTATACTAATACTATATTTACTATAAATAATGTATCTTGTAAATAAAACTTAATAGGCAATAAGTGATTTTTCATATAGTTTAATAAATTATTAATACAAGACTAAAATAATATGTGGTAATCATGTGGTCATAATAATGATATGACATAGTCGATGTTGGGAAAACTCCTAGTAAATATTGCATTTACCCATGTTTTTGTTTGAAGCCCAATATTTGAGATTAGATGGAAGAGATTAGAGTACAAAAACTGAAACACCAAAAATTGTTTTTCTAGACTAAAAATTAATTATGTTACATAATATAGAATTAAGAAAATGTTAATATAGTGAAAAAGCAATAACGTAACCAACTCGTCTGCTCAATAATGTAATAAAACTAGAAAGAAAAAGAAAAATGTAAGAACAAAAAAAATCTTATATTAAAAATTACTATTAAAATATTATATTTCTTTTGGAATTTCAAATATTATATATTACAAATATTTATATTAGACGTACGTTTTCTCTACACGTTAATAAACACTATGATATAATTTATTTCGTTTTTGTTTTCTTCTCTTTCTATGTCTCGATATATACCTATAAATATATATAAACCTTTGTAAACTTTATATTTTTCGTCCAAAACCCTTGGATTCTCGTGTAATGTTAAGATGTTTAATGATGATATACTTTTGAGGAAACTCATATATTTAAGTACGTATTCGAAAAGCAATAAAATTGTAGAGGGAGAAACGGGAGCGTGAACGATAACGCCTTCCGGAAGCCTCTTGTAGAGCGTAGAGCAATAATTTTGTGAAACCTATAGCAATATATTATAACGTAATATATTATTGTGTATTGTGCATTTGTATTCATTAATTAATTTATATTATTATTTTCATTTTCATTTCGATTTTTATTTAGAGTTGGGCGCGGTGGTAATAGRACACTATTATTATATAAATATTATATAATAGTTTTATTGCTCGGAAGTGTATATTTTTAGAACGACCGGGAGCCGCCACGTCCTCCGTTTTGTTTATATTTGAATTTTTTTAATTTATCGAAATAATTTCTTTGTTCATTTTATTTTTTTTATTATTATTATAACGATATGTTTCCATATTATATTATAATATATTATTGTACACCTATATAATATTATATTTATATTATATACGCGCGGCGGTGGTAGTGATCATAATATTATCATCACTTGCAGTGCATCATAGTATATTATAGGTATACATATATATATATATATATATATATATAGCCGCAGCGCGTAAAAATAATAATAATGATATTTTTGGACGCCGTTTTTTTCAATGATCAAAAATAAATATTGTTTAAAAACACATAGTGGCCTTGACGAATTTGTTTGAACGACGATAACGTAACCGAAAATTTATAATATATATCATAGAGAGAGACAGACAGACCGACAGACAGGGAGGATAGTATCATAATATAATATTTTGGACGATTAATGTTAGACCGGAACAGACGTATATCCCAACACCCGCTGAGGGTAAATTTTGATAAGCACGTGTTTTATTTAAATCAATGGAATCATCGCGGTCCACACATAAATATTACGGTCGTCGATATTCAGACACATTATAACAATAATTTAATAATAATATGTAAAGTGTTACTACGATATTGCAGCGCTGCCTCCTTTTGTCTATATAGACAAACGTTTTCCCGATGACAACTTATTATTATAAATTACAATAATATACTAACAAAATATGTATATTGTTACTATGTTATTGTACTCGGCGAATTTTTTTAACCTTTTTTTCTCGATTTGACCGCGATTTTTGTGTTAACGATATATCTAATAATATGATGTGATTGGAAATCATATATTGTAATATCACGAAGTCCAACCGTGTACGATTGTATGGTAAATCAGCAGAGCAAAAGTATTCATATGATATTATATTTTAGGCGCATTAATACGTAAGTCGATTGTTTGTTTGTTTTTTGTTTATTTCAATTGAGTAGTCCAACTTAGAATGTACAAGAATTAAAAATTATATATAAATTAAAAGATGTTTGCAAATTGTTCTTAACTCACGATTGAATAAATTAAGCTTAAAAAAAAAAATTATAAAAGCCATTAGCCGAATATAATTGTATATATTATATTACATTCAAGATCGAAACTCAGTAGTTTTGCTCAATAATTATTATTATTATTACGTACGTGTAGAGTTCGTATAACGAAAATATTTTAAATATAAATGTTATATTATGATTGTCCGTGTCATATTTGTTTGGGGAAAATTATAAATTATTATTGTCATAGATTTAACGATGAAATTACAATTTATTTAATTATTTATTTGTTTGTTTAGTGATTATATTATTATTATATATTATATTAAAACTAGTGGCAGCGAACATTTTTCGCATACCTATATTTTATTTCGTAGTGTTACGTTCTCAACAATATATAATATTATTATTATTATTGTATATTTTCATAAATAAAATTATTAAATAGTTGAAAAAAATAAAGTTGGCGTTTAATTATTTTATAATATTATATAGATATTACTTACCTATATAATATCATTATCCGCCGTGACTATTTTTGCAGCTCCTTAATTTGAGTTATTAAAAAACTAACGCGTGCGACCATTTTCTCGCCTATTATGAATTCGTGAAGTGATGTGGCAGTTTTAAAGACTGCACGTACCACAAAATATCTGTTTAGCACAATATTATGTACTGCGGTCCGCGATTGTTCGTCATCATCGACCACGGTCTTATCGCCATGACCGCGGTAACGAGCGCGAACGGATCGCGGAACTCGCTTTTGAAAGCCATCAACTCCTCATCCGAACTCCGACGTCATGTCGTCATTGTCTACAATGACCGCCATCGGCATAACCTGATACGGTCGCGGCGTGATAACAATAATATTGCGATATTATATTTTTCTGGGTTTCGATAAGTTTTTCTATACGTCTCGGCTGCACCGAACGGATATTTATACATAAAACTGTTTCAAGGTGAGCGTACGAATATAATATTTGTATATATTATATTATGGCTAATGGCTATATATATATATATATATATTATATACCTATGTAGAACAATATATTAAACATTAAACGCTACACGTGCGTTATAAAGATCGTATAAAACTATAAGATATAATACACAGATCGCCCGTTATTGCGTGTTATAAATCACACCGAAAAGCGTATACGAAATGACGTACCTACGTAAGTGAAAAAAGGCAAGCAAGTCATACGGTCGTCGTATAACCACAACAGCAGTGGTATTATAGGTAGGTATTGAATTATTATTATTATTATTATTATATTTATAATAGTATGTGCATCGTTTATGCGCTAAAACAACAACGATAGTTATAATAATAATAATAATAATAATAGAATTTGATCGCACCAACGTGACGTGTTATATATAAGACTTACACATATTATTATTGCTATACCCACCGTATCCCGTCCTATTATATAGGTATATATATTTATAGGTACATATATTATATGGATTATGGATATATATGCGCATACAGTGTACAGCGTATATTATAACGTTCGCGTGCATTTTCCGGGGCGGAAACCTGCAACTGCCGCAATGGGGAAGAAAAAAAATAAAACTTGTGGAGTCAGCTTTATATGTATTATATACGGAACGAAATATACGACGTCTGCGGTGATATTGGTGGGGGGGCGATGCGAGGTGAGCCGCGCGGGGCTGACGGTTATTTGCGTTGATGGCGGACCAAGGAGAAAGGGTAGTTTTCACCCCCCCCCCCTCACAGAGTAATATATATATGTTCGTATATAATATACGTGCCTTGGCGCATATACACTGCAAAAATATATGTATAGCTGCTTTAGCCTTTAGACGGTATATCCGATATAAACCTCTCGAAACTGTATGTATATATATGCACGCGACTCGTCTGTCCCGCCCCCGCATGCACCGCACTGCACTTCAAGTGGTTTTTCAGCGCAGACCTCTTCTGCTTTTTAATTGTGCCGCCGCCGCCGCAGTGGTACCGCAACGTGCGCGTCGCCGTGACCGGACGAGAATATTGTTACATTATTATTATTATCTACCTAGCTGGTACATTGTATAATACATATACATATATAGTGACCTAGTGTGCCTTTCGAGAACTTTTTTTTTCTATTCAACACACTACGTACGTTACGTATCATGACATATCATTGTATATTATTATGTATTATATATATACGAAATGCTTCGTTGCTACAATAATCGACCTGAATATTTCACTCCATCTAAACAATTTTCGATCTAGAAATCCAGAAAATAGTGATTTTTATAAAACTGAACAATACCTTCCTAC